TGGGGGTGGGGTCTGAACCCCCCCCTGCCGATCCCACGTGCTTGCACACGTGTGAGGTTAGCTGCTTCCTTAGATAGGCCATACAGCGTCTCTGTATTTCCTACAACCACCCAGTGTGTGTGAGAGAGAGAGGGCCTCGGCTGCTTTTCCTCGGCAGTCCCCAGATAGCTGACTTCCTAAGCTGACCCTCAGCTTAGGGTTTTGGCTTTTTCTTCCTCGCTGGGAGAGTTCTTTTGGACAGCAAGTGCTCTGCCTGCTGAGCCATCTCATCGGCCTTAATACCTTATTTATATCTGAGAGCTGAAGGGAGGAAAATGGTCTCCATTTTCAGCTGGGTTTCATCTGACTCACACCTTTGATCCTAGTACCGAAGAAGCTGAGACAGATGGATCTCTGTGAGTTCAAGGCCAGTCTGGTCTACATAGTGAGTTCCAGGACGGCCAGAGATACACAGAGGGATCAGATACAGAGCGGGAGAGATCAGGCATCGTGAGAACAAGGGTGGGAGTGTAGCCCAGGCTTTCCTCACCATGACCACAGGATTCTTCTCTCTCAGGACATTTACCTAAACCTTCCCTCCAAGCTCACCCAGGGAGCAATGTGAACACAGGAGGGAAAGTGACTCTGCAGTGTGAGAGACCAGATAATATGACTGAGTATGACATGTTCATGCTACTGAAGAAAGGAGTTTCGTCACCTGTGCAGACTCTGAGATCAGAAAGGGACAGAGCAGACTTCTCACTCCATGACATGATGGACACAGACACAGGAAAGTACAGCTGTGTCTACCACCAGACAGGAGCCCCCTTTTGGACCTCCCACCCCAGCGATCTCCTTGAGATCTTGGTGTCAGGTGAGCTTTCAATATTCTCCTTTAAATTATTTGTATAGTTCCTGTAGAGATAAAAGACACTGTTTAGGGTCTGCAGTTAAGCAGAGTTCCAGAGTTTAATTCTCGGTATTCACAGCACACAGCTCACAGCCCCTATGACTCCAGCTATCCATGGGATCTGACCTATGTCTTCTGGCCTCTGTGGAGACCTTCACTCATGCACATTCCCACGTACAGACACACACACACACACACACACACACACACACACACACACTGTAAGACTAATAAAGAACCTGACCATAGTGGCTCACACCTCTACAACTTGCTAAAGGGAATCTCTGTGAGTACAGCCTGGTCTACAAAGTGAGTTGCAGGACCGCCAGGGCAACACAGATAAACCTTGTCTCAAAACACTAGAAAACTAAACTAAAATAAAATAACTAATAAAACTAAAGATTAAATAAAAAGAAAACCATAATCTAAAAAGAAGTCAATTTAGATGGGCATGGAGTTTCTGTCCCACCTGATCCCATAGCCATTTAGACCCAAATAAACACACTGAAACTTATATTAATTATAAACTGTTTGGCGATGCCTCAGGCTTCTTACTGTCTAGCTCTCTCTTAATTATTAACCCATTTCTATTAATGTATGCATTTCCACATGGTCTTGCCTCACCGGAGATGCCGATGTCTTTTCTTCCCAGTAGCTACAGGGTGTCTCCTCTCTGCCCTTGCCCCAGAATTCTCCTCATCTGTTAGCCCCACCTAAACTTCCTGCCTGGCTACTGGCCAGTCAGTGGTTTTCTTCATCAACCACTAAGAGAAAGATACATTAAAGGCATACAAAAGGACATCTCCCATCATTTAGATATTTTTATGTTCATTCAAAACTGCTTTATAAAATTTATGTAAGCAGACTTTTCCTGGGTAGATGCAACACCAAACAAACCAACAAACAAACCCAAACAACAAAAGGCCCCAAAAAAAAAAAAAAAAACCAAGTTCACAATTACTTTTCCAATCCCAAATATAACAACAGGTATGGGTCTCACATTTTGTTACATAGGATGTAATACATAAATTCCTTTTTGTTTTCAGGTAAAAGGCTAATAGGCCAAATTTTATTAAGTTTCTTCAGGGTAAAATACTGGCTAACATGTGCAAATAATTAATTCATATTGAAAAATCTAGTAAAGGGTAGACTCAGTCCACAGCACCACTACCGTGCCCATGACACTGAATTCCTGGGACATTTGGGGGCTGCCTCAACCCACTCCTGGAATATGGATAGACTCAAGCTATGAGAAGAGATGCACCATGGGGGAGAGAGAGTGCTCCTAACAGTGACAAAGCCAGTGGCTGAAAGAGAAGTTTAAGCTGGGCCTGGATCTTCCCTGTCGTGGCCCGGCATGTCCCAGCCCCAACCCACAGAAGCCATGAAGTCCAGCCTGAGTGGGGGAGCGTGGACTTGGAAATTCCTAGCAACCCAACGGCGATAAAGACCAGACACAGGCATCTTGTCATCTTTAGGGAGCTCTCAGTTCCATGCTGCAAAACTGGAGTCACTCCTTTATTCAGCATCTTCCTGGCTGCTTTCTAACCATCCTTCCCTGACCCTGAGACTGTTTCTCTTCCATCTCCCTTGGGGCTATCAGCAGATTTCTCAGCCGTCTCTCCTCCTGTAGCCCTCTCAGCAGATATCTCCTAACCTTCTGTCCTCACCCTCTGTCAGGAAGACCTAGCCCTCTACCCTGGTACAGGCCTATTCAAATGCTTAGTTCTGTAGAGGTACAAAACTAGGGGACATTCTCCACTGAGGCCATGCCATTCAACAGCAAATCAGCTAGCATCTAATGAAATCAGTTCTCGGCTCCCGACACTTCCCAATCTGCCCTCCTTAACTGATGGGTCACATAGAGTCACCCAGAAGAATATCCTGTTCTATAACTCGAAAGCACAACCTGTATGGTGAGAAAAGAAGATTTTGCTACATATTTAGAGAATCTAGGCTATGGAGTCTCCAGTCATGCAACCATGCGGTCCTTGGTTCCAGGGATGCAGGCACAGTTTTTCAGTAGTGTCACCTCTGTGGATTTTCTCACAACATACTAGACCTGTATTTAAACCCAATTTTCTTTCTTTGAGCCACCATCTCATCCCAAGTTCCTGGCTTGACTGGAACTCTGTTGCTCAGGCTGCAGTTGAACTCAGAGAGCTCTGCAGACCTCTCCTCCCATGTGCTGAGACTGAAGGCATGCATCACCATGACCTGCTCTAGGATTCCATCCTCGTGTTACCTGGGCTTTAGGGGACAGACTGACTTCTT